AATGTAATAGCACATTGTACCTAGTCCGTTGCAATAAGAAATGTCCCTGTTCACTTCATGCTACAGAAAAACACCACACCCTGCAAGAAAAAGATTAAAGCTGCTTTTCCCAATGTTCTTTCTATAAGACCAAAACGCAAATATGCATACATGTACTGTATGCATAGCCCATGCTATAATACATGTCTGTGGTGATCTATTGGCATTTAGCCAGACAAGCAAATGTATTAATTTCATTCCATTCATGGTAAGAATGTTTTGATGCTTAACTCCAGCTAAAACTGTTTTTTTTAATAGGGTTAGTTATTTATGTCAGGTTTTTATTGCAGTATGTGATCTCATTGGAGACATTTTCCATCATATCTTGTGCTACTGGACCCTATCACCAGGACAAGAAATTAGGGAAAATCTAAACCTATATCTAAAACTATAAAAAAAAAAGGTTAATAGTTGAGCTGCAGCAAATTCCAGATCTAGAGTAGCTTGATTGGGTTTTAGTAAATCATCCACATCTAAGCATAGCACCCATGAAATGTGGTGGCCAGGCCAATTTTTTTAATTCTTGATGTGTTTTCATACACCAGCTGATTGATCAGTCATTGGTGCCCAGTGGCAAATCATGAGATTTGTCTTCCCAAAATGTTTTAAAATATCTATTGTATACCACAGTGGTAACATAGCCTTGGAAAATCCTACTCCTAAGTGTAAATTAATGCTACAGTATACAGACATACAGACATATATGTCCAGCTATCCGTCCTTATATCTCTCTAATTAGATGTCAGTCCTTATGTCTTGTTGGACTTCATGTGGCAAGAAATTTTATTGGGAATGTTGCACTTACCTAAATTTTATGCCACATTTTTTGGTTCACAGATTTTGACTGTGTACTTATTAGTTGAATAAAGTAAGGGGGTACTCAGACTTTTTTTTGCCTAAAGTGCATTTTGAAAGGAAGGTGAGGGCACTTCAAGGCTTGCTTTGCATGGCATGTGTTTAAAGCTTAGTCCTGTCCTCAGGTGGAAAGGTTCAGTCTCATGATATCCAGAGCCCTGAGGCAGTTAATTCTGATCACAAGACTGTCTGGGTTTAGATCTTATAACACTCTGAACCTGTAATAGGATTCTGTGCTCTCTCCCAGCACTGAGAAATTCTTTTCATTATTCTTGAACTTTTTCCTGTCAGGTTTCTTCAGTGCCAATGTAACCTCGGTATAGCATTTGGAAAATTTTGTCTAGTAGTTCACAAGTTATATTTGTGGAGTCACGACACAGTAACTTTTGATGGTCATGCTAAGCAGTGGTTAGACGAAGGGTATTTTATTTGTCCAGTTGTCCAATACAAACAGACAACTAAGAAAAAGGTTATTTTTTTCTTTCGCCCTGTAGATATACATATGTACTCCTCGGCTCCACATAGGCTGGGAATCACAAAGAGGATTCATAAAAAGGAACAACACAAGACAGTTCCATCATATAATAAATAAATATATATATATACATATATTCCATCATATAATAAATCCTGTATAATAATATCCAACCCAGCTGACCTGTGGGCTGCCATGACTGACTACTTGAAAATGCTAGTTGTCTGGCTGTTATAGTTACTCTCCAGCTTCTATACCTTCTGAGTCACAGAATTGAAACTGTTATGTAGATCAGAAAACAAAAAAAAAATTACAATCAAATTGACTTTAAATAATTAAAGTCAAAAGTCCTTATGTGCATACTGCTTCTGGGTCAGTGATCCAAGTAAGAGGGTCAGGATACCAGTTAGTCCCCTTCCAAATGGGCATTCCGTATGTCTATTTTTCATCTGTCCGTTGACTAATGAAAAATGGAAGCCAATGTATTCCTATGGGCAACTGGATGTAAGCGGATGATCAACCATTTACATCCGCCTACGTTAACATCCATTTTTTCAAAAGAAACATGGTCCTATTTGTATTCCATAAAAAAAGGAACAGAATGAAAATGGATGATAACAGACGACATCCACTTACATCCGATACACTTGCAACTGGTTTTTTCTGCAAAGTATAATTTTTATTTTTAATTTTCAATAAACAATGTAACCTAATGACACAGGTAGTGGTCTAGAAGAATGTGACATCCTTGTGATATCCTGAGACTGCAAAGCAGCATGGGAAGCGCAGTGCATTCTGGGGAAAAGCAAAGCATCTTGGGAAATTTCGATGAATCAGGAAAAACTAATGTAAATGGATGACAAATAGATGTAGATGGATGAAAAATGGATGTAGACAGATGAAAAACAGGTGAACACGGAAATGAAAACAGATGTAGAAACTGATGTCCCGATCCTTTTATTTTCATCCAATCTTCTAAAAAAAAACGAGACTGAACAGATGAAGCAAATGGAACGGCCATGTGAAAGGATCCTTAGGAAACTAACATTTGCTGATTTACATACCAGCATTGGTAGCTTCCTTGTTTCTCAGGAAAGATTGCTTTAAAGCAAGCTTGCTACATATGAAGCAATCATTGATGAATGAATCATTGTAGCAATCTGCTTATTTTTTTTTTTTTAATCAGTAAAGCTACTGTTGCCAAATCAGCTCTTTTGGCACCTTTCATTATAGTGATTTAAATCTCTGTCAGCAGCAATTGGCACAGAGAGAGAGAGGTTTGGAGAGTTTGATGCTGTTTTGTGCCTGGATACTGTGGATCTTTAATTTATCTGGATAGTGACAGCCTTGGCAGGGACATTTTTTTATCTTATTAGTGAACTGCTGTATCTTCATTTCTAGGTGTAGGTACCAGAGTTCGCTTTAGGCTACAATGACACAGGATCTGGATGTAGAAAATTATTTAGCACCTATGTTGTTGGGGCAGAACTCTGCTTTCAAAACTGCTTTTCTGGTAGGCCCACACAATGAATAGGAACCTTCTATCATATATTTATTTTATTTCAGGTACTTCTATAGCGCCATCAATTTACGCAGCGCTTCACATATATATATATTGTACATTCACATTGGTCCCTAACCCTCAACAGGGGTACAATCTAAGGTCCCTAACTCACATTCATACATACACATACTAGGGACAACTTAGGCAGGAGCCAATTAACCTTCTAGCATGTCTTTGGAGTGTGGGGGGGAAACTGGAGTACCTGGAGGAAACCCGCACAGGCAGAACATGCAAACTCCAGGCAGGTGGTGCCGTGGCTGGGATTTGAACCAACGACCCTAGTACTGCCAGGTGGAAGTGCTAACCAGTTAGCCACTGTGCTGCCCACATACCACCTTAGACCATACAGGTGTGCATTGGAGCCATTCAGCTCCAATGCCTACATGATCCACGTTGAATTAGGAGGTAGTTGGCAGAGGATATACACTTCTGCAGCCACCAATGTTCTGATCGGGTCCACCTGTCCATTTTTCAGGTGGACTAAATCGGAACCTCCATTCTCCTCTATGAAGCGACAGGTGTAAACGGACATGTGTCCGTTTACACCAGTTGACATCCAATCCGATCTGTCCATTGAATTGGATGGGATGGCAGTCAGATGGAATCGGAGAGGCAATCTGTTTCCATCTGACTGTCCATAGAGAACAGGGGGCTTTATCTGTGTCCGCTCTGCAGCAGTGGAACGCACAGAGACCTGTCATCTGCTTGCTCAGCGGGGATCAGCGGAGAGATCTCCCACTGAGCAAGGGGATCCGTTGAAGGGTCTGCCCTATGTGAAAGGGACCCCAAGACTGTTCAGGAAAACCAACTATACCGAAATCACACTGTCCTTGGTGCTTGAATGATCAAATTGTGAGTCTGGCTGTGCAAGTAAATTTGTCATTTTTGGTCAGATTTTCTATCATGAATACATATATCCTGGCACTTACAAATCACAAAAGCTTTTGCTAAACTGGTGTAAATTGTTTTGTACTATTATTGTCAATAATTACATTTAGTTGACAAAATCCACAAAATATTTAGTGGAGGATGCAGCGTAGAAAATTTCCCTTCTGTTTCTTGGCCATCAAATCCCATTTTTTAAACTGCGGGCTACTATATCCTTTAAACACACTGCTTGTGTTTTGGCATGTATAACAAAAACCTTAGTCAACCTTAGAGTGCTTTGAAGGACCATCAGCTTCAAGCTTTGAAAAAGATTTATATCTCCATCTCTTGTCTAGATGCATGGAATGCATTTAACTGGAATTCTCCTTTTACATTTATGACCTCCGTCAATAAAATAGAACAAGGAGCGTGTAGCATAAGCTGTGCCCAGAGCAACTGAACCTATCTTGTAAAAGTATTGTTTCAGTAAAGATGTTGGTTTTGCATTGTTACATTTTGTGCTTCACTGTTTTTTTAATCAGTAGTTGAGTTGTGAGCAGCTGCTGCTCCCATTCAATATTTGAGGAATACATTTTGGCCAAGGAAATAGCACGACAATTGCAAACGCTAGGACACTGAACAAGTTATGGTGTATGCAGCCTGCTATCCTGCATTTTATGGTTGTTCAACTTTTGAAAAGAAAAAACTGGCTTAAATACGTATACTGATTAGCTTTTGTAAGCCAACTTCTTCACTTATGCTCTCTCGGTGTAGTCCTGCTGGACTTCACTGTAAATCAAGGCTGGTCAAGAAAGGTCTCCTAGCTCTCTAGGTGAGTTCAATCAACACAGTCCTACTTGTTTTAACTCTAGATTGAGTCTAGTCAACATAGACCTACTGGCTTTAACTCTAGAGTGAGTTTAGTCTACACAGATCTTTTGGCTATACCTCTAGATCTAGTCTAGTCAACACAGACCTACTGGCCCTAGCACTACGTATATCTAAATTAGTTAACACAAGCCTACTGGCTCCATCCTAAGATTGAGCCTAGTCAACACAGAGACATTGCCTCTTACTCTATAACAACTCCTGTTTACAATTTTTTTATGTGTTGAACTGCTTTCTGAAATATAACCATGTGTTACTGTGTTGTTTATATGTATCTGAGCTGTACTTAATAGAACAATCAACAAAATAATTGTTTCTTCTCTTGCAGGTAATATAATTGGCTCTGGTATATTTGTGTCACCTAAGGGAGTACTGGAAAATGCCGGTTCAGTGGGATTGGCCCTCATCGTCTGGATTGTTACAGGCATTATCACTGCAGTAGGAGCTCTGTGTTATGCTGAGCTTGGAGTCACCATCCCAAAGTCTGGAGGAGACTATTCATATGTTAAAGATATCTTTGGAGGTCTTGCAGGGTAGGTGTTGAATATGATAACATGGGGTAAACCCCAATGTTACATTGTAATGAGATGGTACTGGTGGATAAATCATCTTACTTCACAGTTTGTCTATTTCATTACAGGTTCCTCCGACTTTGGATTGCTGTTTTAGTGATTTATCCCACAAATCAAGCAGTTATTGCACTGACATTTTCCAACTATGTACTACAACCTCTTTTTCCAACGTGTTTTGCCCCTGAATCTGGACTTCGACTCTTGGCAGGTGTCTGTTTATGTGAGTAACATATAGCGAAATACCAAGTGGTATGTCATTCAAATATATTTTATCCTTGTGTGACATTACATGTGATTCTGGAGAAAAAAAAAATTATATATGTAATATATATATATATATATATATATATATATATATATATATATATACACACACTATATTGCCAAAAGTATTAGGACACCTGCAATTACACGCACATGAGCTTTAATGGCATCTCAGTCTTAGTCCGTAGGTTTCAATATTGAGTTGGCCCGCCCTTTGCAGCTATAGCCTCAGTTCCCTTGGGAAGGCTGTACACAAGGTTTAGGAGTGTGTCTTTGGGAATATTTGACCATTATTTCAGATACTCATTTGTGAGGTCAGCCACTGATGTCGGACAAGAGAGCCTGGCTTTTAGTCTCCGCTCTAGTTCATCCCAAAGGTGTTCTATCAGGTTGAGGTCAGGACTCTGTGCAGGCCAGTCAAGTTCCTCCACCCCAAACTCGCTTATCCATGTCTTTATGGACCTTCCTTTGTGCACTGGTGCACAGTCATGTTGGAACAGGAAGGGACCATCACCAAACTGTTCCCACAAAGTTGGAAGCATGAAATTGTCCAAAATGTCTTGGTATGCTTGGTACGCCTTAAGAGTTCCCTTCTCTAGAACTAAGGAGCCAAGCCCAACCCCTGAAAAACAACCCCACACCATAATCCCTCCTCCAAACTTTACAGTTGGCACAATGCAGTCAAACAAGAACCGATCTCCTGGCAACCGCCAAAACCAGACACATGCATCAGATTGCCAGACAGAGACATATATATATATATATATATATATATATACTGTAATATTCATTACTTTATGGAAAACACACAGCCATTTACTATTTACATCAGCCCTTTATCGCTGAAGCTTACATTTACATTACTCTACAGTATTCATGCAAACTGTAAATGGCAGTTGATGTACTGATATGCTGTAGGTTCTGTAATGAAACCAGAGCAATCAGGGAAATCCCATTAAGTATAGGAAGATTGTCCATATTCTGCAAAAGTGTGGAATAAACTCAGAACCTCAGCACTGCAAGCCAGCCTGGTTAAAGCGGAACTAAACTCAATCAATGTTAACTATTTTTGATCCTTATGCTGCTAGCTTTGGTAATTTTTTTTTTTTTTTTTTATTTCTTCAGTTGCCATCTGGTCTCGGGCCTAGACCAAAATTATGTAATCTACCCCAGGAGTCTTCATGGGCATTTGTTTTTCATTCATCCGGAGGAGGGTTTTTTTTCAGCTGAGCATGCTTGAGCTAAGGGCAAGGGATTCTAGAAAGTATATTCTACGTGAATCATCTGCCCTTACTCAAGATGGCCGTTGTTAGAAAAGCTAGGGGGTATTTTTCAAAGTGATTTCTCACCAAAATAAAGCATGGAGACATGGATGGATGGGCGATTTTGCTTTGAATATTAAAAATGAATTAAATAGCATTTTTAGTGTGTGGTGCTCAGATGCATTTTAGTTCCACTTTAATCACTGAGCTATGTATAGTAGGAGAAAAGCTTTTTATAAAGTTGGAGATGTAATAACTATCTCTGGCTTCATAATATAATGATGTTGCCATTACTTTTAATTGCTGTCAGAGGGTTCTCAGAAGTACTGTAAGCATACTTTTCCATTCTCATATCTCCAGACAATTAAGGCTGTTTGATCCTGTCATCTCTGATTCTTCCCTTCTTCCACAGTCCCCAATCCATCTGCTGATAATGCAGAGCCCTAGGAGGCACTCTGCACATGCTAAGTTTGGTGTGTATTACTAGAGACACTGTCTAGACAGAGGGTAAGGGGTCATGCACCCTCATAGGAAAGTCAGAATAAAATGAAAACTCCTCCTACAAGCTTTAACCAGTGCTAAGCCAGATAGAAGTCACAATACATGCTATATACTGCTGATGAGAAAAGGTATTTAGCAGTTTATATTTACTAAAATAATTGCATTTCTATGTTGTGTGTACTGTGGGAGACCACATATAATGAATGCAGGGTCCTGGGTTTAGTAACACTTTAAGATTTATGGTCATATGCAAGGTCCCAACTATCAAAAGAAAAAACATTATAAAGAATCTGAATCTGTTTAATGCTGTCCAAACCACAGCTTTAGCAAATATGAAGTACAACTTGCGTTTGTAGAGGGGCTTTGTTTTTCTGCATTAAATTGGCTTTTGAAGCACCAATAGCATTGGTAAATTACTGCTGCTGGGATTCGCAGCATGGAAAAACTCTAGTGTGAATGCCCCCCCCCCCCCCCCCATGCTTCTCCCTAACACGTATGCACTAATTACGATAACAAAGTACAGCAAGGCATAATTTTTAAAAAGGATCAGAGTCTTTATTTGCATGATTCTCACTTGTACAGCAGCTCATTGACATTAAAAGGCTGCCCTAAACACATTGCATGGGAACGTGCAGAAACACACAAAAATACGTGCGCACCCCATCTCACCTTCATGATGTGAACAGAGCTTTAAAATGATGTTTCACCGGAGTTTATCTCACCAAATTCCCATTGACTTTAATAGTGTAGTAGTGGTGGTAGTAGTTCGCAGCAGGTCCTTTTGAGGTATATTGGAATTGCACACAAAGAAGATCAACCACTTCATTATGTAATGGAAGTCATGTGTAGGAGCAGCACTATCTATGAATAGAAAATGACGTGTTGGCAAAGAGCTGCCACCTACATGAGCCTTAATGTTGCTTTGAAACTGTTTTTTTTTTTTTGGAAACCTTTTTGATCCAAGGGGATGTATTTCTTCACATACAGCAGACTTCCGGTTAGTAATTCCAAGGAAGGATATTGAAGTGCATATCCAGGTTTTTGTTGAGATGCTCAGCAATACAAAATTGGTATATAAAATGTATTGTTTTTGTACATTTTACAACATTTTTAGGTTTAGGTTCCATGCACACTGGGCATTTTTATAATGCTGGTAACGTTAGCTGTGTAAAGTCACGTTGAAAACGCAAGTTTTTAAGTGTTTTTGCATTAGCGTTTAGCGGCATTTTGCCACTGTTTTTAGCAATTTTAAACCAAAAAATTTTTTGGTTTTTTTTGGTCAAAAAAAGTCCAAAAACACTGGTTTTTCACTTCTTGATGAATTTTGCTGCGTTTTTCAGCGTTAGAGCGTTTTTACAGCTAAAAAAACTCCTCTAGAAATCACTAGTTCTGGGGTTTTTTCCAGACAAAAAATGCTGATTACAGTCTATGTGTGCATGGACCAGGGGCGGACTGACAACTCATGGGGCCCCTGGGCAATAGTGGATCATCGGGCCCCTGTGTCCTTGCCCAAACTCAAAAAAAGCCTATGAAAAAGGTACCAGGGGCATCTCATGGGGCCCCCTACTGGCCCCGGGCCCTCGGGCAGCGCCCGAGTTTCCAAATGGTCAGTCCGCCCCTGGCATGGACACATAGGATAACATGCTGGGGAGTTTACTGGCTGTAGAAAAAAACACCAAAAGCCAAAAAAACAGCAGCTGTAAAAACATCCATGTGCATGAGGACTTATAGTGCACAGATGTGTAATGTGAAGATACTTTTGGAGACTACAGCATGTTCTTAATAGGTATAAAAAAGCAGACAGTGCAATTTTCATATGTAAATGACCTATTAAAACTAGATAGCCAAGAAGCTGATATACAGATGGAGTACATTACTATGTAAGTTGTTCCACCTTGGCCTTTAGTAAATCTTCTTCTCAGTATAGCTGCATACAGATTAGACAGCCAAGAATGTTGAACCCTGATATTGAACATTTTTATTAACAAAAGCTCTTTCTACAAAGTTGATGCAAGTTCCCATCAAGTGAAGGAATGGATTTCCATCACACACGTTTTGGTGCCAAAACTAGCATCACCCTGCTGTGATCACCTCTTTTACAAAGAATAGGTTCTAATCTGGTTTTCAACATGGTGACATAGGGGTGGATTTACTAAAGGCAAATAAACTGTGCACTTTGCAAGTGCAGTTTCACTCTGCAAGAGAAGTTGTTCCCAGAGGTTTACTTTGCAAAGAATCACCCAATCAAATGCAAGGAAAATATAAAAAAAAAAAAAACATTTTGCTTGCATGTGTTTGGATGATGGAGGTCAACAGAGATTCCCCTCATTTACAACTGCAACTGCACTTGTAAAATGCATAGTTTATTTGCCTTTAATAAATCCACCCCGATGTGTCAGTACATTTATTCTGGTTACATTTCTAATAATGGTTGTAAAACATGGTGTGGCCAATAACTGTTCAGGGAAAAGGCTCTTTGCCTCTTCTATCTATAGGCACAGGCCTACAGTACCTAATGGTACATCCATCTTTGTTTATACCTATAGAAACAATTGTGATTGGTCAGAAAAGTTAGATGGTGGATTGTTGAACCCTGATGTTGAACATTTTTTAAGCTCTTTCTACAAAGTTGATGTAAATTCCTGTCAAGCAAAGGGATGAATTTCCGTCACACAAACCTTGGTGCCAAAATCAGCATTATCCTGCTGTGATCACCTCTTTTACAAAGAATAGGCAGTTTGTAAATACATTGATGTGGGTTGTATTTTTATTGATGATTGTTAAAAAAGGTGTGGCCAATAGCTGTTCAGGATAAAGACTCTTTCCCTCTTCTGTCTGTAGGCATAGGCCTACGGTGCCCAACTGTACACCATACTTGTTTATACCTATGGAGGAGGGGTGAGGTTGGTGCGTTGTGGGCATCAGCTGTCTTTGGGGAAACAATTTGTGATTGGTCATATAAATCCATCCCAGGTGATCAATGTTACCTGAAGCAAGTTTGGCCATTCCTTAATGCCCAATTTCAGCAGCACAGTGGCTAAATGGTTAGCACTTCTGCTTGGCAGTATTAGGGTCGCTGGTTTAAATTCTCACCATGGCACTACCTGCATGGAGTTTGCATGTTCTCCCTGTGCCTGTGTGGGTTTGCTCTGGGTACTCTGGTTTCCTCCCACACTCCAAAGACATGCTGGTAGGTTAATT